TATGATTGTAAAATATAAAATGTAATGCAGAAACTAGAATCATAAATCGTAGAGAGTTATGAGAATTCATAAAATCGAAGGTTATGAGAAGAAACTGACCTACTGCAATGGCTATGGCGAATGAGAACTCCAAATTACGAACAGTAAAATCGAAGATGATGGGAGATTGAAAAGCGAATTGAAATTGACACAATAAAGTCGTAGATGATGGGGAATTGAAAAGCGAAATAGAAGAATCAAGAGTGTGTCGCAAGCAACGAAGCAGCGAAGAAGAGTTGCCGCTGGGCAGTTGGTACGAAAGAGACGAAGGAAAAAGGCAGAGAGGAAGGAGAAGAATTGCTGAACCGAAGAAAAGAAGAAACGGAGGATTTCAAACTACCGTTTAAGAAGACGGTAATTACTCCTATTTTGGGTATATAATCAATGGACTCTTACATTAGGGTTAAGCTTAATGTTTTACTCCTATTTAGGGGGTTTTGGCTTGTTTTTTTTCTTTCTTTCTTTCTTCCTTTTTTTTCTTTTGATTATTTAATCAAATATCCCAACATGTTTTTATCAACTAAGTGTTTACTCTAGTGTTGTGAGGATTATTTTGTGTCTGTTCAATTGGCCAAACTATTGTTTAGTTCAATTAAGTTGCAATTCAATCTTTGTGTTTGGTTACGAAGGTTCCATGAGTGTGATTTCATTAAGATATGAGCATAAGTTCTAATTGTGCATCTTGTTCTTGTAGTGTTTCAAATATGGTTTATTGGGTTAATTGGTTTCTGAATTTATGAACACTTCTTACCTTATTTTGTTCATCAGTTAAATTGAATCTTTGATTCAAGAATTCTTGTTGAGTAAATTCGGTTTGAAGATGTTTTTAGACAAATTTAGGTTGGCCACTTAAAATCTAATTCCAATTTGACAGTTTTAAGAATCTTGAGTACGTTAATAGCTGATGATGGGTATATCCCTATACCCAACCCGGACAACCAAAAGGGACAGGTCAAAGTATGACCGGTTACTTTTATCAATCACCAAATGAGGTTAACTCTTCGATTGGGACGGGTCAAAAGTTGACCGATCACTTCCACTAAAAAAGTGACCGGTCACATTTTGGGCGATAGCCAAAATGTCGCCTAATGTTACAAAGGACATTCTAGAAGACCAGAGAGACGGGTCGAGCGCAAGAAATGACCGGGTAACCTTTGAGAGAAGGTGACCAGTCATGTCACTTTACTTTGGCCACTTGGTCCAGTATCTCAGGCATGGTGAACCACGTCAAAGATCGAGGGACCACCCCGCCGTTCGTCCATCACGAGGCAAATAGTTAAAGGGATGTTTGTCACCTTGCAGGGCTGATTGGATTGAGAATATCCATTTATAGTCTTTGATTGAACAAATGTCTTGACTTGTAGCTATTAAAATCAATGATTGTACAGTGTTCCCATTAACTACAGTGACCTTCCCACGGGCTTCCTATTTTGTCCATGGATGAACAGGGGAAGGTCACAAATCCTCCTCTATAAATATGATGATATTGGATAGAGGAGGAGATCAATTCTTTCTCTCACTAAAAATAGTACACTCTTGAGACAGAGTAAGAAATATATTTCGGACTGAGGAGATTCACCCGGTCTAGGTCATACTTTGTGTTCTTGTTGTGTGTTTTATATTACGGGTCGAGTGTCCAGGTCAAACCCGGTCAACCCACCCCTCTATATTTACACCATCAGCTGAGATTTTCAAAACACAAGTGTCACCCAATTAATACTTAATTGGCTCTCACCCGGTTTTTATTAATTGGAGTTTTCAAACTGACTATGTTAAATAGATATAGTCTACTGCATAGTTGTTAAGCGATGTTTTCCATTAAACTAAATACTCTATTTTTAATTAAATCTTTGGGCAGGTCCTTAGGTTGTTAAAAATAGAAGGAGCTAGAATTAGGGCAGGTCTTAACTTGGGCTATACTAAGGAGAATAGGAAAGAACCGCTGGTGGATTTCTTCTTCAACTTAACCCAGAGTTTTGTCAATCGTTTTAATTTGAAGTAGTTCTAATTAAATTAAGAATCTGGATTCGATCAATTCGTTTTTTAAACTAAAAAGTATTTTTAAAAAATTAGTTTAAGTTAATTATTATAGTTTAATCTTTTAAAAAGGTTTACGTGTTTATTTTTGTGTTGGTTTTTTTCCTTATGTGTCTTCTTTCAGTTCCAAGTTGCTGCTATTGTTGTGTTTCTTTGTCCATTTTATCCAATTTATTTATTTTTATCTTTTCAGTTTATCTTTTAAAACCCCCCAAGTAGTTAGTTATTTTATTAGTTGTCTCTAGTTGGTGTTTTTAATTGAAAAAAAGTAAAACTTAAGTAATTGATTTTCATGAAATAAAGAATATATTTCTCCGTGGGAACGAATCTTACTTACCATAGCTATAAAAATATAGGTTTTAAATTAAAAAGGGGATAAGAAAAAAGAATTAATTTGTAGGCACTACGACACACCTAACAAATTTTGGCGCCGTTGTCGGGAAGAGATAATTTATTATTATTATTATTATTATTATTATTATTATTATTATTATTATTATTATTATTATTATTATTATTATTATTATTATTATTATTATTATTATTATTATTATTATTCTTGTTGTTGTTGTTGTTCTTATCATCATCATCATCTCGTAATCTTAATGAATGCATTTAAGATAATAAAAAAAGAATTGTTATTTTTTATACACAAAGAAACTAACTTTGAAAAAAAAATTATAATATAAAGTTAGCATAAATATAAAAATGTTAAATTTTAAAAGTTACTGTGGTTATGTTGTATCTCAATTTATATAAGCAGTATTTATTATAAAATAGTATATTTACAATTATACTTTATATATTATAAGATTTTGTTTTAAATATCAGACATGTCACATAATGTAATCAAACCTATTTTTTATTTCATGATTGACATTTTATTTTTATTGTAACTCCTATTTTTTAAATAAAGACATAGAACCTTTATTTTTGTAAATTTTTTTTATGTTTAACTCCTATTTTAGTCTTTTTCTCTAACCTATTCTGACTTTCAAATTTTTTTCATAAATATTAGAAAAATGAAAAAAAATAAATTTTGAAATAATTAAAAATGAGAAAAAGTTTTGTAATAAAGGAAAAGGTAAGGGGTCTTATATAAAATTAGATTAATTTAAAACATTTTATATAACTATTTTATCTACTCCGTATAATTTTTTAATACTTTTAATATGACGTTCAATACTAAAATTCTCGTACTCCAATATAACACTCCTATGTGTTTGTGGGATGTTTAAGAAATGTCTGGTTGCGTGGTTCGGAGGTACTCGGTACTCCGTATATAATTGACAAGACAAATTACGGAGTAACTTTTTGAAGAAATTTTAGTTTTATTTTAGAATGTTTACTAAATGAAAGTGGAAATTTAAATCTAAAAGACTAAAATACAGGACAGCCAGCATAAAGATTCCTGCATTGATATCTTCTACGAGTATTTGTGAAATTTGCACTAAATAGGACTAAAACATAATGATTTTTCTAATGTAGGACTTAAATTTTTTTATTCTCTAAATAGGACTAAATAATGATCTCGTGGGAGGAATAATGTCCAGTAATGTTAGACATTTACTTGAATAATGACTACTTGTTAATGACCTAAAGTCCTACATTGGGAAATAAAAACAAATAGTCCTATATTGGGAAAGTCATTATGTTTTAGTCCTATTTAGGTAAATTTCTCACAAGTGAAACAAATGCGAGATGTACCCCACCGCGGGATTTTAGACGTGGATTCTAGGATTTTACTCATCAGCCATTCTAAACCACAACGAGTGGAAGGCATATTTTACGCGTAATAATATACTCGGAATCTAATATACTCTATTCGTCCAAGTGTATTTGTTCTGTTTGATTTTTTCTGTCTGGACAAACTTTGAGTTTCAATCAAATAAAAATCGTAATGTATTTTTACATAAAAATGACTTTACTGAACTTATCGTATTGAGAACTTTCAAAATTATATTTTATTATGCTAATATATAATATAAATTGAGAGTAATTGTAGTTCAAAGTTTGTCTAGTTTGACTCGAAAAAGTCAAACTTGACAAATACACTGGGACGGAGGTAGTATTCCCTATATGACTATGTTCTAACATAAATGTACCTCAAAGATACATCAAAGGTATATATTAACATTTAGATTGTTCACATTGACACAAAACGTTGGTGCGTTAAAAGAATTTGTACTAACGTTTTGTGTCTTTGTAAACTATCACCCTAGCATTACACTGACACAAAATGAAAGTCCAAGCCTGCGATGTAAAATTTGGGATATAAATAGCTGAATCCTTCTAACATTATTGCACTTTGTAGTGTGATTTTAAAAAATTTGACTAAATAAAAGTAAAACATAAAGAAAGTATCAAAATATGAGGTTCATGTTCTTATTTCCTAAATAGCTAGGAGTTCGCACTCAAGTAATGTGGCAGTGTACATGGATATTTTACTTTACATTTCGGTAATGTACATGGTCATGATTGACTTTGTAAATGCAATTTAACTCCTATTTCGAGAGTAAAAATATAAAACTCTTATTTTGATATATTTTCAATATTTTACTTTCACTTTAATCTTTTTTCCCTTGATTTTACGATTTCTAAGTATCAAAATAGTAACAATGAATAATTGAAACCAAGGTTGGCCCTGGGGTTAGGAATAAGGTCATCCGCATTGGATGGATCGGAGGAGAATGGTGGAGGAGAAGTACCTCTCCCGGAGAGGTTGGTTCATTGGATGGAGAAGTGGAAGGAGAAGTACATCTCCTTGGCAGTTTCCAAGACAAGCAAGGAGGGGGAGTCCTCCGCGGAGAAGAAAGAAAGAGAAAAAGACTGGTCATTCACTCCAAGCCATGTGACAACTCTTTCAATTTTTAATTATATAAATGGGTTGAGTTTAATTTTGTAAATAAGAAATAATAAAATTTTAATAATCCTTTTGACGTAAGAAATGAGGAGAAGTAAAGAAGTAGTTGTGTGTTGGGACTCAAAAAGATGATGTGGAGAAGAGAAACGGGAGTAGTCCTCCCTTTACTTCTCCTTCCAAGGGTCGGGGCTGCCGCCTACGACCCAATTCATAAGGGGGTCCCTAATTATTTTTCTCTAATAGTACTAGTAATATATTATAGTAAAAAATAATTAATTCAGGGGTTTAAGCCTTCAATTTTAAGTGAAAATATAAACTACATAATAATATGATACACTCAATCATTTTAATACATCAAGTGATATTTCTTTTTTAAATTACTTGAATATTTTGCTTATATTGTACGACTAAAAACCATTTATGAAGAGAAGTTTTTACAAATTTACCTTTATATAAGAATGTTTTCTCTAAATAATTGACAGAAGCTTGATAATAAATCAAGATAATAAGAAGCTTCTCATGACAATATCACCATTTGATCATTTTTATCCAAATAAATGAGACCTTATAACAAACCAAGAGATACTACGCATTGTTATAGACAATAGACCTCAAAGAGAAATAAATCACCTTTTTCTTATCTTTTCAAAAATCAAGTAATGGTGATAATAGTAATAGAAAAAAAATAAATTTTTTTCTCAAAGTCCTGACACATGCTTTTGAAATTTTATCTTCTATTATTGTTGGGTTAAGGTATCCGGGGGCCTAAGGAACTAGGCGGAAGAGTATCGAACTAAGTCGAGAGTACACAAGTTTTGAGGTCAAGTAATTATGAGTATTATTGTGCTTCTTAGAACGTGTAGTGTGTGTGATGAATGCCCTCTTCCAAGAAGAGGGGTATATATAATGGGAGAGTTAGGGCTAGGGTTTACATACAAAGACCAATGGGCCGGCCCAATAGGCTGGGCCGTCCTAAATAAGTAATTAATAAACGACTAACGGGCAGATCCAACAAACTGGACCGCCCCGACTAATATTATACAAAGACCGGATACCCCCTGTCCGGGGTATGCATCATGAGTCCCCCACTTTCCGAGCCGAGAGGAACTCAAGGTGAAGTGGAAGTAGAGCAACAATCTGCCACGGAAGGACACCATCTTCCTTGCTGTTCGGAATGCATTGCCAACTTGATGTCCCGAGCACGGTGAAGTAAGGCCAACAACGCCACAGGTCAGAAATGTAATGCCAACTCGCTGTTCGGAACGGCAAGAAGAAACACATACTCTGCTCATTGTCTTAAAATGATTTGCTCTCGTACAAAGTACATCGTCGGTTCGCTGTTCAAAGTGCAATAATCATCATAAAAGTGGATGAATAAGTCGTCATCCTCCCACCATCCTGTCAATGTGTGACCCACTCCACGGGGGATGCCTCATTAAAAACTTGCCGAGGAAAAATCCTCGGTCAAGAAAAGAGTACATCTCGTCCCATAGAGTGGATCAAGAAAACATTGCTAGGGGGTGAGGTCTTCTGTGTGAATCTCAAAAGAGGTGATCTTCTCCAAGTCCCCCGGACTCGTTGTCTAGAGTCGAGGGCTGTTCGACATAATGGATTGCCGGCGAGTGCATGCCGACACAAACTACTACGGTTTGAAACAAGGTCGGGATGTCGATCGCCAACCTCTCCATTATGTGAGATGTAACAATCACGAGACGAGCACATGGAGTCCCCCACTCCTTAAGCCGAAGAAGAATTCGGAGGTGAAGGGGAGTAGTGTCCATGCTCAGCTCCGGTGGGAGTCTCTACCCCCTTCACGAGATGGCCGAGGTCGAGCTTGAGTGGCTGAAGGCCGAGCTTGAGTGCCTGAAGGCCGAGCTCGAGTGTCGCACGAGATGGTCGAGGCCAAGCTTGAGTGGCTGAAGGCCGAGCTCGAGTGCCTCACGCGGTGGCTGAGGTCGAGCTTGATCTTCTCATTCTTTTAACCTGAAAAATAAGTTCAAAAAAGAACACAAGGCGCTCGCGGGCTCGGATGGACCGATCACCACGCGGCCGAGAAAAGTAAGTCAACGTATGAGTTGGGTCCAAAGTTTTGGACAAAAGATAGGTCTTATCAGCAAAGTGTGCCGATCGTGTAGTAGTCTGGTCTAGAACAAACCTTGACATCATCCTAAGTGAGACTGGGGTCTTCAAATGAGGGCTGCTCGGGTAAGTGAGATAGGCACAAATGATGCACCCCTCGCCTTAGATCCGAGAGCAAAATACTTCACGTCGTTGAAGACGGATATATAGGAGTGCGTCGAGATGGACGGCTTACCTCGGCCTCGCGAATAGTATCGTCACGGACGATTTGGAGTGCCTCGCGGGGAGGGCTTACCTCAGCCTCGTAGAAGAGGAAACAAAATTGCGTCATGGGAGACGGATGGGAGTGCGTCGTGGTGGACGGCTTACCTCGGCTTCGTGGAAGAGGAAATGAGATCGCGTCGTGGAAGACAAATAGGAGTGCGTCGAGATGGACGGCTTACCTCGGCCTCGCGATAATATCGTCACGGACGATCTTCAACACCTCGTGGAGAGAGGTTTTACCCGGCCTCGCTAAGGAATGACTAAATGAGTTTGATCTGAGCCATGCCTTGAGGCAAGTCACTGGCCTGTGTGGGGTTTGAGATTAAGCTTCACACCCGTCCCACAATAGGGCTTAAAGTGTTAAACACAGTGTAATACCATCGTCCAAGTGAGGTCTGGTCACATGTGGTAGACAAGGTAATAGTAATAATGATGGAGTAAATGATAGGAATTACCATATATATTGATAATATGTTAAAAAATAATAATAAATATGGAATAACTGAAATGACGTGTTAGGTGTAAAAGACTTATCTCTTTTTTTTTGCTCCGTCGTCCATAATTGAGATTCACTATGTAAATGTAAAGGTTGATATTTGCTTCACGGGTTAGAGTGCCCAATTCCGTGTGGGGTCCAGCCAACACGCCACACAATCAATGGACCTTACCATAAAAAATATTGCTACAGTAGAAAGTATAGGCTCCTTTTTTTATGGAGCTGGCAGATTTGACAGAAGCAATGATCTTGCCCATCAGAAAGTCATGCGCATCGAGGGGGCCTGAGCGTTTGTCGGATTGACAACTGAAAGGCCTGAGAAGCATTCCCGGAGGGATAGAGGTGGGTAACCGCCGGTCTGAACTGGTGTCGGAGTCGGGCTACTGGGTCGTCGGCTGCACCGGTCGCCTGTGTACCGTCGGAAACTTGTCTATGCCGCACTCGCAGTGGCGGATCCAGGATTTTTTTTCACTGGGGGCACATTTGGTTACAACAAATATAATAAGCATAAATTTAAATTTAAAAAATATGTACTCCATAATTAATAATTTAAGATCACAAAATTACATTTTATAATTGTTCTCTACGAGTTTTCATTTTTTTGAAAGCGATCAACTACATCTTCATTCGTAATACGAAAAAAGATCTTTTTCTATAGCACAAACTACACAAGCATTAAGAAACGCGTCTCCAATTCGGTTGCGCAAATCAATCTTCACATGCTTCATTGTTGAAAAACATCTCTCAATTGTGGTTGTTGCAACTGGCCAAACCATAGCTTCAACAAACGATAAACCAGAGGAAATGTAAAATTTTTCTTTGTACTCACCATCAATTTAGCAAGGTCGGATAAACCCGTCAAGCTACCGAACGTTTCATCCTCTTGTAAATTATCAATGTAAAGATCAAGTTCATGCTCAAGACTCATTCTTCCCACATTGCTAAAATCATTTGGATACATCTTATGCAATCTACTTTTTCCCCTCATTTCCTCCTATTGTTCTATAATCTAATTCACCATTAAATTCAATTTCAAACCATATTTATAATTGCACATAATTACATAACCTAATTTTTAGATCAAGAGAGCAAAAAATTCAATCCAAAAAATAATAAAAGAATTACCTGATAAGATCATATAGTTCTATAATCTAATTCACCATTAAATTCAATTTCAAACCATATTACATAACATAATTTTTTGCCTAAGAGGGCAAAAAAATCAATCCAAAAAATTAAAAAAAATTGCGTGGAGGCGGAAGATTGATGAACTGATGAAGTATGAAGATTGAAGAATTACCTGATAAGATGAATAGATGATGATTGATGGGGTATGAAGATTGAAGACGGAACTCCTGGAGGCAGAACCGCAGGAAGAAATGCAAGTGGAGGGCGGCTGTGGAGCAAATTTGAGTAAGGGAGGTTTATTTACTCCAATTTTTATTTTGGACAAGGCGTTATTGGTCAAATTTGGATTGGGCTGTCATGATTTTTAAAATTGTGGGATTTGGGCCTGAGTGTGAGGTGGGGGCAATAGTAAAATTTTAGAATTTTAGTGGGGGTAACCTTTATACTACTTTTTAAAAAATAAAAATTTTTATTTAAAATTTACAGTTGACTGGGGGCAGCAGCCCCCTAGACAAAGCATGGATCCGCCAGTGCGCCCTCGTGGCACCGATCGAAGCACTGCTGGTCGGTGGATCCGTTGCCGGTGGAGAGATCTCTGTCTGGTCTAGGCCTCTAAACCAACCTAGCCGGAAATGGAGGTGGTTCCCGAAGCATTGTCGGAACTGGAGGTTGCGATTGCAGCGCAGGGTTCTAATGGCATCGGATCTAGGCTGCGATTGCAGCGCCGGGTTCCAATGGCATCGGATCTAGGCTTTGATTACAGCACCGGGTTCCAATGGTGGCGGCAGATGCGGCTGCGGCGAAGAAGAACTGAATGCAGCAGCGACCGAGGTGCGGCGCCCCGCGACGAGGATCTCCGAGCGGAGAGTTTCGAACTAAGTCGAGAGTGCACAAGTTTTAGGGTCAAGTAAATTATGAGTATTATTGTGCTTCTTAGAAAGTGTAGTGTGTGTGATGAATGAGCTCCCTCTCTCCCTCCCTCTTCCAAGAAGAAGGGTATATATAATGGGAGAATTAGGGCTAGGGTTTACATACAAAGACCAATGGGCCGGCCCTACAGGCTAGGCTGTCCTAAATAAGTAATTAATAAACGACTAACGAGCTGATCCAACAAACTGGACTGCCCCGACTAATATTATACAAAGACCGGATACTCCTTTCCGGGGTATCCATCAATTATCATCTTAAATATTTTAAAATTGTCTTGTTTCAGATTATATTTTAAAAATAATTACTCCCTCCGTCCATAAATAGATTACAATTTTTTTTTCTCCTCTCGATAACTTTTATTTGTTTACGCGATTTCATTAAGTATTTGATAAAATAAAATATTTTTGTCACCTATTGTTTTGTAGAATTTTTGACGTAGTTTTTTAATATGTAATTTTTATATCTTATTGATATACCAATTTTTAAATAAAATGATTTGAAAAAGTAGAAAATTTTACTCCATAACACACAATTTGTAATTAAATTAGGGACGAAGGGAGCATAAGAGAAGCCAATTTCTTTAATGTATAGTTTTATGAACGTGAAATTGAAAGTTTACGAAGTATTTGACATAGAGAAAGAACATGACAAAGTATATACTCTATCGTTCCCAAAAGATCTAACAATTATTATTCATATTTTTCACCTATCCTAAATTAAGTTATATTTGATTGTACTTCCTTCGTCCCAAATTAAATTATTTATTTAATATTCACAAGATCAAATTTCATTTATTTTTTTTAATAATTTGATAAAATAATATAGTGATGTCACCATCAATTTTGTAAATCTTTTAATGAGGTTTTTAGAATTGTAACTTTTACTTTTAAATTTTACATCATTTTTCATATAAAATAATTTAAAAATAACTTCAATCAAATATCAAAAATTAAAACAAGCAATTTGAATTAGGACGGAGGGAATAGTTGATACTCCCTCCGTCCATAAAAGAACTTCCCGGTTTGACCGGGCACGCATATTTAGGAGAGATGAAAATAACATTGACTTTACTAAATTGCCCCTTTCACCCTTTTACAATTACCAGGAAACCAAAGTTTGTTTCCTTCTTCCATCTTCTTCCGTCAAGAACACATGTTCTAGATTAATTCCAAATCAAACATTCAACAAACACCAAGATCTCAAATCTCAATATTCACACCAGTTTAAAAAATCCTCAAAGAAAAAATCCAAGATCCAAAATCCATTCACTGTAGAGAAAAGCTCTCGAAATCAAAAATCTAAAATTAAACATCTCAAAATCTAAAATCCAAGATCCCAAAATTAAAAATCTAAAATTGAAGATCTAAAACCTTGTCGATAACCCCAATCGGCTATAGTTGCGGTGGTGGTGAAATTGGTCCTGTCTATGACGAAGATGGGCTAGGAGAAAATCTTGGATCTTCAATTTTGACTTTGTTCAGATCTAAAATTCCGATCAGAAGTTGACTTTGTTCAGCTCATATCGGAAGTTGAATTTGTTCAGATCCGACGAAGCAAAGCACAATCCTTCCGATATGACGAAGATGGTGCCATTTTTTCAGATTCGGTGAAGATGATGCTGCTCCAAAGCTCCCAATCTGTGTACTGTAGGATGACATCGAAAATCACATGCGGTGCGGAAAATAGAACGAAGATGATGGAGGAAAGAAGAAAATTAATTGGAATAAGAAAATGAAAGAGAAACTAGAGGAAAGAGATATATGGTGGAGGAAGGAGATATGGCAGAGAAGATGGTGAGAATGAAAAAAAAAAGAAAGGGAACGAAGAAGTTGGCCAGTGTTTGAAGATGCAGAAGACGCAAGAGAGAAAAAGAGAAGAGGGGTAAAATTGACTTTCTAATAAATTTTTTTAGCCAAATAAGGAAATGAGAAATTTATTTGTGGACATCCCAAATAGGAAAGTGAGAAATTCTTTTATGGACGGAGGGAGTATATAAGAGCAATTTTTCTCCATGTTGTTCTCTAGCTATACTTTAGATGCTACCCGTTCTATTAGTATCGTACTCAAGTTTTCCAAAAGTTGTCTTGTGAAGAAGACACTCTAGAACCATTCTTCTTTCCACATGTACTGTGTTCCATTGTTTTTTTCTTGTTGTGTAGAGATTTTTTTATTTAAATAGATTGTGTAACTTTTACACGGGAAAATGAATTTGAGAGATGAAGAACTAAAAAAAACAAAATAAAAACATAAAATGTGAGGCTTATCAATTCTTCATCCAATCCCACTTGCCCTTTACTGCAATCGAAACTTTACAGCTATTGAATAAAATTAGAATGTGATATAATACTTACATTGTCCTCCACGTCATTCAGTCAAATTATTATCATTATTATTCTTATATTGTGTTCTGTGGTGACTATAACCCTCTCAAACTGTGTTGAAAGAGGAACAATACACTAGCCATGGATACTGATAAATTTACAACAATTAAGGTGCAGTTCATACACAATATAATCATGATGATCTTGTGGTTGGACGGTTTACATGCTCATTGCTCTGGAAGATACTTCTGCTTCCCTGTCCTGCACCTCCATTTCCACTGTTTCCTCCTGGAGAATATATTTATATTCAAGCACGCAGTGCTCATCAATGGTTCAACTCAAATATGTTCCAAATTTTGTTTTTTAAGAAAATTAACCAGCACATATTATACTGTAGCATAGTTTACCGTTTTGTTTTTTAAGTCGGTCTTAGCTAGGTATGCCTCCAAAGCACCATCTCCACGAAGTATTTTACCTCCATGCCCAGGTGCTGTTGCAGAGCCTACAGAATCTTTATCAACCACAACAGCCTCTACTCTCTGCTCTCCTGCCTCATGAGCATCAGGGATCTACAGGTGTAATAATTCAATATAATGATAAGAAATCGGTAGACCTGCCTCACTTGAGCTTGTTCTCGTCAACTTATTCTTATTACTTACTACGTATTACTTATTCTTATTGGAATCAGATCAGACTAGAGAAATAATTGCATATATAACTACTATCTGATCGGATCAAACCAGATCAGAACTTATTCTATTCTAATCAGATCAGAACCAATCAGATCAAGTGAAGAGAACAAGCCCTTAGTGTGCTAAAAAATAACTGTGTGGTGGGGATTGCTTCTTTTGGATATGGACGTACTCTTCAACCCGACATACCTCATACATAGCATCAGTTAATATACTTTCAAGTATGGCTCTTAGACCCCTAGCACCAGTGTTTTTCAACAGTGCTTTCCGCGCGATCCCTCTCAATGCTTCATTTGTAAAATGTAGCTTCACCTAAAGAAAAGAATTCACAAGTGAATCTCTAAGGCTAAAATGTTTAGAATTCAACAACGGGTTAATATTCTAGAATGAATAGTTTAATATTCTACCAAAGTAAATATCAAAATATTTTGGGTAGTAGATTCTACATTTTGTATTATCTAGGGGCATCTAAATGAATACTCTCTCTGTCCCTAATTAATCTTCCTCGTTGAGTTTTCACGGAGTTTAAGAAACGTTTTGAAAAGTGAAAAAGGAGTTATTAAAATTTGATGAGAGGTGAGAATTTTTTTAGGCACATAGTTCTTTACTTTTAAGGATTGAGAATATTATTTTGGGATATCCAAAAAAAGAAGATTATTTAAGGACAGATGCAGTAACTATATTCTATAGTATATAAGGTATCTATTAATAAAAAAGGAAAATCAAAACCTAGGGAATTGTCAAACAAAGAGTCCAAATACTAAGTGTGTGGAGGTGGCCCAATTTGAAGGGGTAAGTTTGTCTTGATGCCAATTAAGTCCCTCACACCGTTGGTGTCTTCAATATTGTACTAGAGTCCTTATCTTATTAATTGTAAGTGTTTTCCTTGGAGATTGAAGATTTCCTTGTCAAAATGCTTATCCAATGCCACCTTTAGACTTGAGTTTGTTTGTAAACACACGAGATTGCAAGTTGAACATTGGCACAGTATATGAGAATGATTAGATATTTATATGAGATGATGAGGATGAGGATGCGGTGCAACAAATTGAGAACAGTCTGTTTCCAGATAACTCGGTGAGTTAAACCACTTTTTCAGTATAGAGACCAAACACACAAGATGGACTATTCATGTGCCAACAGAAATATGCACATCTCTTGGGGAAATTTGAATGTTGAACTGCAAACCTCTATCACCTTTATGGAAGTAAACGTGAAACTTCATGCAAAATGTAAACACTTTGTTAAACACTTATGTAGAATCTACTACCCAAAATAACATACCCAGTTGGACTGTTGGAGTTGTGAGCTGCTAAACGCAAAATCTGACAAAGCCTCAAGTACAAGAAGCAGGATAATGATGTACGGCAAGACTACAATGGACTATGGTCTCACATATAAGAAAAGCAGTGCGTAACATCTTAAAGGGTTACTTTGATGCTGACTATGCTGGAGAATCTCTTGGTGCAGTAGAATGCAGCCAATAGTGTCCTTATCAAATACAGAAGTCGAGAATAGAGATGCAGCAATGGTAGCACATGAATGCTAGTGGCTAATACTATCATTACATTCAAGAGAAGGTACTTCAATAAGATATGAATGGACAACAAGACAGTTGATACGTTTGCAGACATAATTTTGTTATGTTCCGGGTGAAACAATTTGTAGCTATATTTAGAGTCATATCATAATGTTTTACATGAGTGTTAAACACTTATGCATTGCTGCATTTTCTTCCCATAACTTCATAGATTGCTGCATTTTCCTTTTTGTTTGTCTCAAAATAAAATTTTCATTCCTTTTAAAAAGAACATTGAATGGTTCACATTATTTATCTAGTGTACATAAATTTCAACCTCACAATTTAATATTTTCTTATAGTCCTTGAAAAAGTAAATGAGAAGCTTAAAGTATTAATTTTGTTTTCTAACAGAGGGGGGGATTAAAGATTAAATGATGGGCAGTCAATCCACCACCATTATATTCTTCAAAGACGTGAGGTGGCACTACTTACCTTGTTCATACTGAATAATTTTCGGTACTGCTTGCATAGAGCATTATTGGGTTCTGTAAGGACCTGAAAAAAAATCACTGTTATATCCTCTTCCACTATTAAGAACGAAATAAAACCACCAGAATATTCAAACAAGGACCAGTAAAAAGAATGCGAGAGGAAGAAAACAAAAGGTTGCAAACAACATTTCATTTGTCATCGGGCTACTCATCTGTTTGTGATGCAACACAACTTGTAGAATTGAAGGCATTTAATTACAAAAGCCATGCAAACAGTTATTATTATTATTATACTGTTTTTATTATTACTATTATTATTATTATTATTATTATTGAAACCATGCAAACTAAGAGCAAATATAGCAGCTTTATTTTCCGGTGCAATGTCATAACTCATAATGTTTTGTGTATAGCATATAAAGGTAATTTTCGTAGGCTTAAATGGATAGAAATAAGACAGAAGAGAAAAAATTGTATGTGGTTGTAAAAAGATAAGAATTTCCTTCAATTAAATGTGGTGCAAAGAAAAAGATATAAATAGAAAACAGAGAATAACAATGCTTCAACTCTCCTTCTATTCGAACACGAGGAAAGAAGGTAGAAATATAGAGCCTAAGTGGGGTCTAAGCAGGATCGTACAAGCATAGATGGGATTAGGCAGTCACTTCACAAAAAATAAATGCAGGCTGCCAATGGGAGCCTAACAACAACAAAAACAAAGCAGCAGCAGCAGCAACAACAAACACTTCATAGAGAGTAAAAGAAGCCAGGAAGTTCATTTATATAATCCATTATGTGTCTGAAACTAAAACATTGTCAATGATGATTCTTTTAGCTCCATTAGCAATGGATGGACGGGACCCTAGCAACCAAGAGTGAGTTTTTAGAACAAAGCTCTTTGGAGCTAAATCTTAATCCCTCACAATATGAGTTGAGCAACTACCGAGAGTCAAGAATTTCATTCTTTACCAGCAAAAAAAAACAAACAAAAAAACCCTTGATTTTCACATAGACACTTTACTCAAAAGATGTACAACAACAACAACAACAACCCAGTTAAATCCCACAAGAGTAGGGTCTGGGGAGGGTGTGTGTACGCAGACCTTGCCCCTACTCGAAAGTAGAGAGGCTGTTTCCAAAGAGACCCCCGGCTCAACGTCGAAAGTTGCATTGCTTGACTAACTGCTACTTCATTAATTAAAGAAGCGCAGACAGTTTAGAGATCCATTTTGATTTATTCCATCACACCCCAAAGCCAAAAAATGGTGAAATTTTGGCTCCATCAGAGATGATGGAAAGTTTACTCAAAAGATGTGCAAAACTTTATTGTTTTGCACATTGATTGTTGGACAAAAAGGGGTGGAGGTTTAAAGGGGGTGGGTTATATTATTTGAACCTGAAGCTTGCTTTTTAACTAAAAACCAGCCCATAGGGCCTGTCATTAGCATTTCCCAAACACACACACACGCATGCATCCATGCATCCATCCATCCATCCATCCATCCATCCATCC